TTGAGCACTGTTCTCCAAGTCTAGTAGTGGTAAACTCACTTTTTGCATGTATTGAAAGGGTGATATTTATGTATTTCATCGTGACATTTGAATAATTTTTATTAGCTGTTAGACTCCTCTTCCGTTCCTTAACTGTTGTTGGAATGAGCAGATGTCCTACCTACATAAGCAAGGTTGTGATGCTCATAAATTTGGTCATAGTGCTCTCTGTGGTGGTATATTTGGGTGCGTTACATTTCTTTAATTGTGATAATTTCACATATGCTCACTGAAGGTGTGGTACTCAGTGGTTGTCATACACTTTTTTGTGAGTACAATTGTGGTGCTCATAGAAATGCTTGCCTTGGACATGATAGTCCCACATCTTTAGAGCTATGATACCCACACGGGTCACATCCTTTATTTACAGTGCTCCCAGATTCCTGAATATAGTTTAGATGAAAATCACTTATAGCACTTAAAGTGTCAGAAAGCAGAGCTTCCAGGCACAAAAATCAGAGTTTCTAGGACAATGCTTGGTAAAAAAGTTCACAACTGAAGACTGAATCTGTGGCCTTCCACTTGCAAGGCAAATTTTCCAGCCACTAAGCTATCACTTGGCCTTTGACTGAGAGATTTTATCTTTTAGAATCGTGTACATGCCATCCTACCCATTCCTAACCTGTGAAGTTTCTGCTGAGGAATCTGATGATAACTTAATCGGATTAACTATATGTTATTCCACCCACACAACAGTCTTTAGTATTTTTCTTTATTATTCCCTCAACTGGGCTGGAGCGATAGTACAGCGGTAGGGCATTTGCCTTGCACGCAGACACCATGGCCGACCCGAATTCAATTCCTCCGCCCCTCTCAGAGAGCCTGGCAAGCTACCAAGAGTATCTCACCCGCACAGCAAAGCCTGGCAAGCTCCCCGTGATGTATTCAATATGCCAAACACAGTAAAAACAAGTCTTACGATGAAGACATTACTGGGCCCGCTTGAGCAAATCGATGAACAACGGGAGGACCGTGACCATTCCCTCAACTGCCTCCGCGCCTGGGGCTCCTTAGACGGGGGCGGGTTGAGTTTTCCTCCCCGCCCCAAGAAGACCCCTGGCAGCAGAAGACCTCCAGAACCAGCCACAGCCATGCTGAGACCAGTCTCCATGTTCGGACAAGTCTCATGCATGAAGGAACTGGCAGAGGAACCTAGGCATGCGGGTTCTGGGGCTGAGATATCCAAGCCTGCTCGGATTGGGACTGGGCTTCCTCCACCCAGATCCCCCATCTTCTAGTAGGTAGGCGTCACACCCACCATCTGCCCCTGGCACCTTGTAATCACATCAACCCAGCTCCTGGAAGCTAGACATCCTATTATCTAGTTCTTACTCTGGAGAACCCGGCAGGCTACCGAAAGTATCCTGCCCACACGACAAGAGTCTGGCAAACTCCCTGTGGCGTACTCAATATGCTAAAAACCAGTAACAATGAAAGGTCTCATTCTCCTGACCCTGAAAGAGTCTTGAATATGGCACTTTCTAAAATCTCAGGGCTAGGACAAAGGAGATGTTACTGGTGCCTGCTCGAGGAAATTGATGAACAACAGGATGATCGTGATCGTGATTTCCTCAACAATTTAATAATTATATGTCAGTGTACATCTTTTTCCATTTAAAGACTCTGGTGTTCTTTCAGCACCTTGCTTTCTTTGACTATGATTTTCTTTTTTATTCTCATTTCTTGTAGTATTCCCATTATTCTAATATTATGGTTTCTCAGAGTGCCTTCAATTTTACTACATTTTATTTCCCTCTCCTATTCTATTTGAATCCTGGCTGAAATTTTATCTTTAACTTCATTTTATTCTTTCCTCTGCAAGATTGATCCTGTAAGTTTTGCATTGATGAGTTCACTTCATTTACTTCTGCTTTTTTTCCCAATTATCTATGCTTGTGGTTTTTAAAAGTGGCTTCAATATATTTGGTGAAGAGATTCCTCTACTTCTGTATTTATTTTTATTTCATTAATATTGAATTTTTAAATGCATACTTAACATACTTCATAATCACTTAATCACTTAACTTCCCGTTAGTCGTCGATTTGCTCGAGCGGGCACCAGTAATGTCTCCACTTGTCCCTGTCGCGTGCTAGTGTAGCCCAATGGCATCTGTTCGCTCTGGGAACATGAAGAGCCTCAAACCGATCGTTCATGATCTTGATGAAGAAGTCTGACCATCAGGTAGGTGGGCGGCCACGCGGTCTTTTGACATCCCATGGAATCCAGTCGGTAACAGCTCTAGTCCAGCGGTCATCTTTAAATCTCATTACGTGACCAGCCCATCTGATTTTTGACACCTTGGCAAATGAGAAAGTGTCCCTGATTCTTGATCGTCGACGGATGTCGGAACTCCGGATTCTTTCTGTCATTTGAGTGAAACGTGATATTCCAAGCATAACTCTTTCAACGTTTTCCCTTCCGAAATCCGACACGTCATTTCATCGGTAAAGAAACGAACAGCATCCGGCCCAGACAAGGTCAGACCCGAACACCTGAAGAACCTGCCGTCAGTACTCACCAATACACTGTCTCAGCTCTTCACACTCTACCTGCCTGAATACAAGGTTCCGTTCCAGTGGAAAATCAACAGGACCGTACTACTGTTCAAGAAGGGAGACATCCATGACATTGGCAACTATCATCCGATCTGCCTATTGTCTGTTATCTACAAGTTGTTCACTCGAGTCATCCTAAATAGGATTGGCAGAACACTAGATGAAGGACAACCATGTGAGCAAGCCGGGTTCCGCAAAGGATTCAGCACCAACACCATATCCACACGATAACCAAGCTCATTGAGGTTTCTCGGGAGTTCAAGATGCCGTTCTGTTTAACGTTCATTGATTTAAAGAAGGCCTTTGATTCTATTGAGACGGAAGCGGTCATTGAAGCCCTAGCCAATCAGGGCATTCAAGCCCAATACATCAAGATCCTCCGTGAGCTGTATTGCGGATTCACTACCAGGATCTCACCATTCTACAAAGAAGTAATCATTGATGTCAAGAGAGGGGTTTGGCAGGGTGATACCATTTCACCGAAACTCTTCAGTGCCACCCTCGAGAACATCATGCCACGACTGGAATGGGAAGGAATGGGAGTGAAGATAGATGGTCCGCAACTACACCACCTCCGCTTTGCCGATGACATTGTTTTAATAACACCAAACATCAGCCAAGCGGCACAAATGCTGGCCGATTTTGACCGTGAGTGTGGAAAGGTAGGACTACAGCTGAATCTTACGAAGACAATGTTTATGAGAAACAGCCTCGTTCCTGACGCCCCATTTGCTCTCAACAGAACGACCATCTCCGAATGCAACAGCTATGTGTACCTAGGTGGAGAAGTCAACATGACAAATGACCTGGCACCCGAGCTGTGCAGGAGGAAAAGAGCGGCTTGGAACGCCTTCAAGAACGTCGAAGAAATAGCTAAGAGGATGAAGAACCTCCGGCTCCGGGCACATCTCTTTGATTCCACTGTTCTTCCTGCATTAACATATGCCTCAGAGACCTGGGCCCTACGCAAACAGGATGAGAACGCTATTCAGGTCTCTCAAAGAGGAATTTGAAAGAGCTATACTTCATAATAGTTATCTAAAAATTGCCTGCTATACTCCTCATTTCTATGACTTTCAAGTTAAATTCTGGAGATTTTTTATTTATTCTTTCAAATGCATAAAAAGCATTTGATTTATTCCCACCTCTCCCCCAACCCCTCTGCCTGTCCAGGAAGTACTCAGTTTGTAGATTTCTTGTTTCTTTGGAACTCTTGTGTTTGGGGCAGGGGGATCATTCTGCCAAGGATTTACTTCCTTCATTCCCCCAAATGACTGGGAACCATAGAATCAATGAAACCTACTGCTATTCCCTCTCATCTATTGACCTGACCTATACTCTGTGACCTCAGTGGATCTTCCCATGGGCATGGATGAGGGAGTTTGCTGTCACTGATAACTTACTCTGGGCACAGAACTGCCTGTATTTCCAATGAAGTTGAGAGAGGTATCAATATACTAAACTTACTTGATTTCCCTCAACAGGGTCTAAATTACCCTGTAGGTTTCTATAGTCCAAAGCCCTGATGACTGCAGATGTTTATCGTGATGGCATAGAGGCAGAAGGCTATTTGTGCCAAGCTATCTCTGCTGAAATTGTTAGTTCTTTTGTTTAGCCATGGCTCTCTTCCTAGCAGCCTTGTGGACTCTTCTCTCTTCCATGAGGGAGTGTGCCAGTGCTCAAGAGTGCTGCTACTCTCCCTGCTTAGTGTGCAGTTTCTGCAATGATGGCTCCGGTCTTCTCTCTATAGGTAACAACAGAGGCTCCAACATCCCTCTCCCAATTCTGCCAATGTAGCACTGCTGCACTGTCATCCCGTTTTTCATTGATTTGCTGAAGCAGGCATCAGTAACAACTCCATTGTGAGACTTGTTATTACTGTTTTTGGCATATTGAATATGCCATGGTTAGCTTGCCAGGCTTTGCCTTGCAGGCGGGATACTCTCGGTAGCTTACTGGGCTCTCCGAGAGGAATCTAATCGGTGTTGGCTGCATGCAAGGCAAACGTCCTACCTGCTAGGTAGGACGTGCTATTGCTCCAGCCCTAATTCTGCCAATACCACAGGTTATTCACTTACACCTTAAAAAACTATGACACATGGCAGATCAGAATTGCTCCAGTGATAAAACCTTATAAGTTATAGGAGGTATAAAACTGCTTTGTTGGTCATTTTCCAAAAGGGAATTTTTTTCCCCACCAAGCTCAACATTTTTATGTTCAATATAAAATCTAAAAATTATAACTAAATTTAGTAACATTATATGCAAATATATATCATAGAAAATTTATTACAAATACAGGTTAAAATATTATTTCACATCTACCTATGAGGCTAAAGAAAGAATTATCAAAAAAATTGTTTTGAAAAAAGTTCAATTATTATTTGTCCACTCCAAAAGGATATGAAGAGAAGATTTTACAGGAACTTGTTGCTGTTTCAAGAATCTCTCGCAGTGCTTTAAAACTAGGGAAAGATCATTTTCTGCGCCATCATTTAATATGTTGAGGAACTTGCCGTACCTACATTAAGAGTCCACAGAGTATACAATGTGAAAAATGCCAGTTTTAGCATTGCAAATTTGCTTTTTAAATTTCCGTCAAAGCTTATCCTATGAATGTTCAAGATTGTACAGTTTAAAATTTCAAGTTCTAGCATAACTATGTTTAGGACACTTCAGAAAGATTAATATTCAATATATGTTCCTGATGACCATAATATATCTGGGTTAGCAGTATTCATTGGTAAATATAGATAATTTGAAAAAAAAAAGTAACAAGAGAACAAAATTGGGATACCATAAATTAATTATTCAACATAAAAGCATTTTTTTCTTAACTTAAGCTGTAAACAAAGACAGTGAATAAATTACATTGACAGAATATTTGGTATAGAGAAAATTTTAGAATTCATTGAATCCAATGATTGTAAATGGTGAGAGTCCTTCTCAAGAAGTAACTTTAAAAATTAATGAAGGAGTTTTTGACTGTCATTATAGCCGAAAGGTACTTGGTTAAGACAGCTAAAAAGCTAAACATGGAAGAGATCTGCACAATAAAAAATTGCAAAGTTCTGTTAATTCCAGGATGAAAAATAGAGTTTGCCAACAAAACCATAAAATGTTTTTCCCAAACTTTAAATATACATGCTGAATGTAACCATGTGTAGATCAAGGAAAGATAGTGTTTTTGTTTTATTTAAGGCCTTAACAAGAATTTTTCACCATTCTAAAGAGTTGCTTTGCCAGTGGTAATATTTTTAACAGCTCATGAGTCATCAAACTAAAATACATTTCTATTAGCTGCCATAGTGACAATGGTTGTATTTGGGTGCCAGCTGTTTTATACTGTAGATGTATATAAATATTTCATTAAAGTCACTTTCAATTTATTTTTTACAACTAAGATATTACTTTGAATAAAGAAAGGTATGTGCCTCACACTTCTATTAATTATGAATTGCACTGCAGAAGAGAAATATGGAATTATAATAGTGGATAGAAAACCACCAAAAAATCAGTGAGTTGTATGATATACATGATTAAGGTAGGGAAGTGAAAATACTGTGTTCAGTATTCAGTATAATGATCTCACTAAATCAACTCATTATAAAGGGGTTTCTTTTAGCATCCTTAACATGCTTTTTCTTTCTATGCTTGCTTCTGAAGACATTCTACTGCAGGAGAAGGAGATGGTTAGATGCCCCACATACTTAAAATGATAGAGAGGAAATTCATGGAGCTCAAAGAGTTATTAGAAGCTGGTCCACCATTTGGTCTGTCCATTTTTTTCTGAAAATTTCAACTTGGGTGTGAAACATTCAAAATACAATGACATTTATTTAAATTTCTGCATCTATAATTGAAGTACTTTTATACTTATCACTACCAGTGGACGATTAAAATCAATCATATTATAAGGGCCAGAGAGATAGTACAGCAGGTAGGGTGCTTGCCTTGTACGCTCTGACCTGGACTCAAGTCTCCAGCATCCCATACGGTCTCTTGAGCACTGCCAGGAGTAATTCCTGAGCGCAGAGCCAGAAGTCACTGTCACTGTCACTGTCCTCCCGTTGTTCATCAAGTTGCTTGAGCGGGCCCAGTAACGTCTCCATTGGAGACTTTGTTGTTACTGTGTTTGGCATATTGAATACGTCACGGGGAGCTTGCCAGGCTCTGCCGTGCGGGCGAGATACTCTCGGTAGCTTGTTGGGCTCTCCGAGATGGGCGGAGGAATTGAACTCGGGTCAGCCATGTTGACTGTGTGCAAGGTAAACGCCCTACCGCTGTGTTATCGCTCCAGCCCATCAGAGCCAGAAGTAACCCCTAGGAATTGTCAGCTGTGGCCCAAACTTTAAAAAATAATAATAATATTTTAGAGAGTGTCATGATTATGCAGATATTTTGTCAATACTATATTAAGAAAAAGAAAAAACTGTTAGTCACAGTAGTCTAAGTACCAGTAATTGGCCTCAGAAATGATAATGAAGCATGAGATTTGCCTACATAAGTAATTTAATCATGTGCCAACATTCTCAAAAACAAATTATTACTTTTGGAATGATAAACCTGAATTTTACATACATAAAATAGTTGGTGGTTAAATACTTTGTAAGCACATATGAGGTAGATAAAACAAATGCACAAGAGAGATATTTCCATATCCATACCTGACAGTCATTTTAATGCCAAGTTGCTGCACAGATGAAAGAGTCTCATTTTTCACATTTGCATCAATAGCTGAAAACAATAGAAAACCTGGTTATAAAAATGTATAAAAGTATGCATAATAATCACAATTTAATTGAAAATTGATGAAAGTAATATTTTTACATATTTTAATCTGAATTTTGAAAACACTGACAAATCTGGTTTTTTAAGAACTGTCAATTATATTTTCAGAAAATAACGGAAAGCTTTTTACAAATAACCTTTTCCCTATGTATGTATTTAAAAGCTTATTAAATATAAAACAACTAATCATAATTTTTTTAAAGCAATCTAATTTTACTCAGTTCACAGAACACCAAAGCTATTAACCTCCACATGGTTCCAAATACTACTTTTATACATTCACAGGCAATATCTATGTATAATGAATTACAAACATATGTATGTATATATATGTGTGAGTATATAAAACACACACACACATATATAGTTCTATGTATCTATATATATGTCTCAAGTCTTTTTATTCTTTCCCAGATCACATATTCAAATTTTTAAGTAGTAATCAGTATTTCAATGAAGGTACAGTGAATTTCTTAATACAGACAGATTTTCTTTATGAAACAGAAATTGTGATCTTTTACCAAAGTCAAGAAGGCGTTGTATATTTCCGAGGACTACAGGAATAAATGAAAGTCTGAAGTAGTCCCTGAAAACAATGGAAGACCAACTGAGAGAGAACAAGTCAAAGTATCACTAAATAGTAAAAAGAACTGAGGCTTTGGTTGAAGCTTTTAATTTTGGACTTGAAGCTATAGCATTTGTCTCTTGTTTCTCTCTCTCTCTCTCTCTCTCTCTCTCTCTCTCTCTCTCTCTCTCACACACACACACACACACATTTTCCAAAACTGCAAAATTTCTGGTAGAAAGAACGAAAAACTAACTTTTATGAATCCTCTATCAGTAACCACAACTCCCCACCTCTATCCCTTCATACATTGGTACATCTCATACTATCAATGCAATTTATTTAATCCATGGGCTCAGTCATTCTTAATAAGTGCTTTCTGATAAAGTAAGTGTGGAGGGCTATACTCAAAGCTATGGGGGGAATGAAAGATAAATCATGCAGTAAGCCCTAAAAGAACTTTCCATGTCGTGTCAGAGATAAATTCACATACAGATAACACCGAACAAAGAAGGTTTAAAGCACTAAGAGGGATAAGAATGTAAAGATAAAGTACTGGTATATCAGAAGAGGGTGAGATTAGTTAGAAGCATCATTTTCACTGAACCTTAAAATATTGGTAGACTTTTGATTTGCAAAGATAAAAGAGAATGAATTAATATCACTGATATCAAACATCTATTCTCCGGACTAACAATAATTCACTTTTAGCTTCCTTAGAGTTAACTAACCAACTTGTCTGAGTTTATCAGGGGCTATCATGGTTTTAACACTGAAAGTCTCATAATCCAGAAATGTATAGGCCCAAATTAGACTAGATTTACTGACCAATTACTAATAATGAATAAAAATAGAAAATAGAAATTCTCAATTTCTCAACAAGCCACATCTGAACTTTTGTTTTAGTTGGCAATTTTAGTATTATTTTCATTGCAGTTCCCTATACTGACAATAGTATATGTATCAGTCTAACTTAGAAATTTTTGTGATTTATCACTAACTGTAATAAGAGATAAGCATTTCATCCATAACTGGATAAATAAAACCAGTTTGGAGTTTTAATAAAAAAGTACTTAATGTTTTAGCAACAGTTTTATCAAGGAAGACTATTTTGCTTCTCTTGCACATTTTCCAAACTAGAATATTTCCCCTTCGTAGTCTTGGCGCGTAAGGCACATCAGAACTCCAGCAAAGAGGAATGAATCTAATGTACAGGGAGGAAGGGATAAGAAGATGCCAGCAGAAGCTTGATATGGCGTTCCATCATTTTGCACCCAAAGCACCTAATATCTGAAATTATTCTGTCACACAAAACATGGTCAATTAAAAATACTAATAGGCATTCATATTTTAAGCAAAGTTTCAAGTTTTTGGTCTAAATAACAGCAGTTAGAAGAAAATAAGTCATATACCAATAACAGCTTTAACAATGTCCTCTACAGACAGAACAAAAGGGAGTGCCCTGCCACAGAGGCAGGGTGGGATGGGGGATGGGGGGTGGGAGGGATACTGGGATTGGTGGGAGTGGAGAATGGGCACTGGTGGTGGGATGGGTGCTCGATCATTGTATAACTGAAACCCAAGCACAACAACTTGTAAGTCTACAACTGTACCTCATGGTGTTTCACTAATAAAAAAAATATCAGTGGGGAAATAAAACAAAAACAAAAACAATGTCCTCTACAAAAGCACAGTAGCATGGTAGCAGTCCTCCCGTTGTTCATCGATTTTCTCAAGTGGGTCCAGTAATGTCTCCATTGTGAAACTTGTTACTGTGTTTGGCATAAAGAATACGCCACGGGGAGCTTGCCAGACTTTGCCGTGCAAACAGCCTACTCTCGGTAGCTTGCCGGGCTCTCCAAGAGGTGCAGAGGAATCAAACCCGGGTCGGCCGGATGCAAGGCAAACACCCTACCCACTGTGCTATCGCTCCAGCCAGTCCACTACAAAAACCATGTTAAATTCAAGTGTTTTGATCATAAAGTTCTTGTTTAAGCATCTCAATCTGTGTTGGTGACCCAGTAGTTCAAGATTAATTCTATTTAATTGTCCACATTGAAATAATGTTAAATGAGTTTATAATACTGACAGCTAATTTTCAAAATGGAAATAATAAAAATTAATAAACATTCTGATTTTATTTATTTTTGTAGTTCTGGAATAGAACTGCTTCACATCAACTATCATACTATGATATAATGACAACAGTAATGTCTGTTGCTACAACTACAGTCAGAACAGATTTTTTTAGGTGGCCTCACCCAGTGTTGCTAAGGATGGGACTATCTGTGATAATGTTTGGCCCAGTGCTGTGAGACTGAGGATTTGGTGTACTGTTCAGCAATGTTTAGGGTCCACAAAGACCACATCAGTGGTCTGCAGAGGTGTTTGGGGATAGGATTGGGTATCAGGGATCTAATCTAAGGCTAAATGTAGAGCATGCATGGTAGGCACATGCTCTACATTTGTGCTACATCCCTTGCCCTACCAAAATAAAAAACTAGATGGTAACTTTTAGAATTCTAGTATGCAAAAATTTGGATCATTAAGTATTACAAATGCACAAGTAATATGTTGATATGTGATTTTTTTTCTGGAAAGCATGATACATATAGAAACCTTAATCTTACATGGTTAACAAAGAGTGCTAAGAATGGCTATTTCCAATGTCACATATTTCATAGATCAGGTGAATTCTCCTAGGAGATAACAAATGGACAAAGGTTAAGTATAAAAAATATCTTACAAATGCGAAGGGAGGGATGCGAAGATGATGATGTGTGTTGTTGGTGGGCTCTCAGGACAGCTCTCTCTCTCTCGCTGCCCACGATCAGTGCTCTTGAGCCACTGTGTATGGACCTGATGGGGATGACTCCTCAGTTGTGCTCTGTTTCTGTATGTGCTGCTGTACTCTCTTCTCTCTGTCTCTCTATTTCTGACCCTATCTCTGTAGTCTCTCTTCTGGTCTCTTCTGATCTCTCTCTGGAGCCTTTCTGCTTCTCTCTCTGGAGTGCTTCTGCTTCTCTCTCCAGAGCCCATCTGCTTCTCTCTCTGAAGCTCTTCTTGCTCTGTATTCTGACTCTGCCCCCTTCTTCCATTCTCTGCTTTTTATTCCCTGAATCCTGACTGATTTCTGGAGCTCGACCTTTTCTGATCTTACAGTCTTAGATTATATCTCCAGTAACATCTCCATTGTGAGACTACTTGTTAATGTTTTTGGCATATCAAATACATCACAGGGAGCTTGTCAGGCTTTGCCGTGCAGGCAGACTACTCCCGGTAGCTTGCCAGGCTCTCAGGGCGAAGAAATCAAACCCGGGTCAGCCGCATGCAATACAAACGCCCTACTGGCTATGCTATAGCTCCATTCCTATCCACTTAGTCACAGTAAATTTACTTCTAATATTTCTAGCATTGTCATTCTGTATAAGCACAGTAAGAGATATATCAAACTTAAAGTTTGGTTCTTCCTGAGGACATCTTACTATATATTTCAGACCACAGGAATGGTCCAGGTGGACCATTAGTCCAGGCCAGATTAGTCTTCCTAACCCCAGCAGGGTCCTAGACTCATAATTACTTTTGGATCATGACAGCATTTGTCTATGATCATGCTCTCAACTTATAGTTGAATATTGTGGCGCTTTGGCCTGGCCCATTTTGATGCCAGGGTAGCTCACAGCTTGCCCTGGGTCCAATCAGTCCCTCGTCGGGACCATGCTTCTGGGGTGCTAGGAACTGAGAGTAACTGAGTCGAAAGAGCAGATGCCCAGGAGTAAATATTATTAGAGACAATCAACTCCCAAGTTACAAAGCATAATACTAACTGTCTTCCTGTGTCCATACAAAAAGGACATTGCTTTAAGGTAAACTAAATTCCCTACAGCAAGGCTGAAAGGACAAACCCAAAATTATCCTACACTTAAGCATCAAAATTAAAGAAGATGCCCATGGTAGTATGGCCATATGAGGATCAAGTTCTTGATTCCCACAAAAAGGAGTTTTTCAAGAGTGATCCATTTGTCAGAAGGTTAAATGATTTCTTTAACATATCTGGAACTTAAGAATAACCAGGCCTATGGCCTCTACACAAGTTTATAAAATTTCATTTAACTTTAACCATAAACTTTAACCATTTCAATATGGATCCCAATTATGGACATGCATAAGAATCTTCTTTTGTTTAGTTTCTGCATATTTGAGTTCCCTGCTTTGGAAATTCTGTTTTGTTGAGAGACAAAAGGCTGTTTCGTTGAATTTTTTTAGACTAAAATATTTCTGGAACTAGAGGATATCATGCTAAGTGAAGTTGGACAGACGGAAAGGAATGAGTACAGAATAATCTCACTCAAATGTGGGACCTAAAGATACACAGTAAGGA